GCTGCCTTCCTTTCCCGCATGCCATTGGATTGCAGAGAGACACAGGATTGGCTGAGGCCAGGTGGTCTAATATGTCTGCGTTCTAATCCGACGCCACACCACACCAAACTACACTGCAATTTCGAGAAGTCGTCATCCAAATGCATGCAGATTTGTACCTTAGTCGACGTTTCTTGGCTGCTAACAATCTTCACATTTTTCAACCCGTTATTATTAATGGTGCCCATGTGGCAGTTGTCGGGGCTTCTAAGTCTGATGCCGTGACTGCTCGACAAGGATCGTTGAAACGCTATTTATTATCTAGTTCCGATTCTATAAACATTTCTTGTGTGAATGAGGTTGTCCCTGCACTTGCTATCGAGATAGTTACAAAGTAGTCATTTTGTTCTACGTTCATTTTTAGTCGTAATGACATGGTCAAGACCGAGCTTTTCAAATGGTGTTTGTTAACACGACTTCGTAAGCCATTTGCTTGTTGTTCTACTCAGATTTTAGAGTTCTCATATATATTACCGGGCACAAGTGAGCATTTTAAAATAATGGGGTCAGATGTTCTCGTTCATTTTATGTCTGTGAGGTCGTCTTCCGGTTGCGAATCTGATGAATCGTGAGTAAGAAGGTGATTTGGTTACCTTAATATTTACAGATTGCCTTAAAAGGGATAATTCATCATTTGAGATTGAACTGTTAATGTTGGTTTTCTTGTTCAAGTTTTATAATACATCATGGGACTTGTCTACTCGTTTACAAATGACGTTCCTTTAATCGCTTTGCAAATTTCTATGTAGTTTTCTAGGGCTTCAGCGTAATTTCCGTCTGCATCAAATTTTTTTTTCTAAAGTGTTTCCTTTGTCCATTTTGGCATGGTGTTTTTCCATGAAAGTAAGCCAGTTTTAATCTCATGGTCTTGTATTGGCATCCTAAAGGTTCGGGCCATTACGCAAAACCTTATTTCATGTATTTTCATTGGTTATCTAACCTGCAGGTTCTCTATCACCAAATGGCTAGCAGAAAACCCGTTTATTGCTTCCCCTGAATATTATGACCCAAACCAGCTTATTGTTCTACCTTCAGTTTCGTTTTCTGATGTTCAAACTACCAAAATCGTCTATAAGGTAAGTTGTGCAAACATTCCTTGCAGTTTTATGTTTCCGGCTATCATACCTTTTTCAATACTCTTGTTCTAGATATCTTCAAGCACCCAGATAAAGTTTATTCTAGCTTCTGAAATTTGCAGAGGCGTTCCCTCACATTCCGACGCGATTTCGAGCTTCCACCGCCCTCCAATCGGCTTGGAAGCAACGTGGGCTTTAGTGGTCGAATTCGTTCGGCAATTTTCTCTCTCAACTATGCATTTATCAGGTCAGGTTTTTGAGCCGACTGGCCTTCTGTTATATGGTCTCCAAGGGTGTGGAAAAAGCAAACTTCTGGAAATTCTCACAATTGGTAATACGCTGTGTGATGCGCACGGCATTGAAACTCTCGAGTCATTTGTGAGTTTATTTTGCATAATATTAAAAAAATATTGTATCACTCGAGATTATAATGGACACTCAGCTCCTACCTCACATTTATGTTTTCTTGGTCATCCTTCTATGCAAGACAAACCAGAGTAAATGAACTTTAGAAGCACGTGTAGACTCGGTGAAATTTTTCAACTTTAAACAGCTTATTTTGAGAGTTTACACTGTGACCTAAAATGCAAAAACCCATTGCCAACACTCTGTTCCAACCAATTGTTATTGTAAAAAAACAAACAAATGAAGTGTTATAATGTAAGGCGGTCAGCCGACAAGTTAGATTTACGGAGGATTTTTCTCGTTGTAGGATTGGTATCGGCAACTTCAATTCCTCCAGATTTCCGAGCATAATTGCCCAATTGTAAATGGAAACACCATCTCGAATCCCTTTGAACTTCTTATAAAGACGAAACTCGCGCACCGTCATCAGTCCTGTTCTGGCGTTGTTATTATAATGCCTGATCTTGATATTTTGTCCCTGTCATCTGAAGGCCAAGAATCCAATCAGGCGGACGATCAACGCGACCATGATCCGTCAAGCTTTACTGCAAAATTCTTCTTATACTTATATATGGCACTACGACACGCCAGCGCCGATCTTCCTGTTTGTGTTTTGGCCACTAGCACGGAGTCGAGTGGACTTTTGAAACACAGGGAACTTAGAAACCTATTTTATAGGCAAATTCTAGTGTCCCTTCCTGGTGGAGAGCAAAGGAGTCGCATATTGGCGGAAGAAGTGCGGAAGTATTTGCACCAGGAACTCGAAGAACCCGTTAAAACTGAGGTCCTGCCCGCTTCCGTTGCTAGTCCAGAGGAATGCAAACGAATTTCGCTTTTTGCTGCCAAGTTACACGGCTATACAGCAACGTAAGTGTTCTTAAAATTAGATTTTACACTTGTGACCCCTAACGCACTATTTATGCACGGTTTTCACCATAAATTATCGTGTTTTAAGCCATTTAGACTTTCCAATAGTGTGGTGGCCAGCGTCTAAAGTTTCAGAGAGCATGGAATCTGATTCATTTAAACGCAGAACTTAGTTTAATGTTTTCATTGTCACTTCCTACACAGAAGCATCAGATTTGTTTGACTTCTAGAGTTTAATCATCGGTCACCATAACGTTGTATCACGTAGTCGGGGCATGGTAATTTGCTGGAATTGGTGAGGATTCGTTGCAAGTGCCCTAACAGTAATATCAACAATGGAGCCAATATTTTTTCCCTTAAATGTCCATAGAGATCTCTCGCGGCTGTTGCGGGCTAGCTATGCAGCGGCCGCTGATAAATGCAAGAAGCGGGAAATTAGTATCGAGGGCGACGATAATTTCCACCAGCCCACCGTCTCCCAAATTCTTGATGAGCTGGAACTGGAGACCAAGCACTACCGCCCCGTGAATCTGTGTGCAGAAATCTCGCTATTCTCTCCTTTGTATTGGACCGATATTGGGGGCTATACTGAGATTAAACGTCTTTTGTCCTCAACAATACAACAGCGCTTAATCGAATCTTCTTATCCCCTGGGTGAGGCTGCTGCGGTCAACAAACGCCTCGGCTTAAGTGTTCCTCGTGGAGTTTTACTCCACGGTCCACCAGGTATTTTAAATGTACATTTTGCTTAAAGTTTTCCGTACTTAGTATCCATTCAGTAGAAATTCATATTTGTACCTCAAGGTTGCTCAAAGACCCTCTTCGTCCGTGCTCTGGCGACTGAGTGCAATTTACCCTTGGTTGCAGTTCAGGCCTCAAGAGTTTTTGGTAAATACGTTGGAGATAGCGAGAGGAATATGCGGAGGATCCTAGTTCATGCTCGAGCCTGCGCACCGGCCATTCTCTTTATTGATGAAATTGATCTGCTTTTGCCCTCCAGGAGTTCAAGGTACATTTTTAAGTCATTTTGAATGCGTTTTTACATTACCTTATAATGGGGAAATTTGTAAATTTAGTGAATCTGGCGTCAGTGAACACGTTCTGGGCGAGGTACTGACGGCTATGGATGGTGTTGAAGGCCAATGTGGACAGCTGATATTAATTGCTGCCACCAATCGCCTTGAAAATCTCGATTCGGTAAGTTACCTCTCACTCTCTATCCAGGCGTTGTAAATTGCTCCTTCAGAGAGGTTCTCATAGATTAGTGCCAATCATATGTGATCGTAATGCCATTGTTGCAATCATTTGGTAATTATTGGTAATTAATGCCTCACCCGTGCGCAATTTTAGGTGCGCATAGCACTTTTGGGTTTCTAATTCAGTTTTACTTAAAGGCTGTTTCACAGAAATGTAAGGGTCTCCCTATCCATTGGTCTGTTAACATCAAATTACGCTGAATCGACAATGTTCCTTTAAAAAAATGTCCAATAAAGTCCTACAGTTTTTTAAGTGCGGTCGAAAGGTATTCATTAGTTTGCTCTCTGGCGTAAAAGCATAACAATGGATGTTGCTTTGTGTAGTCAAACGGAAAGTGAAGGTCGATTTTCAGACTCCAATTGAACATCTCATGTAGTGGCTCTCATTGGTGGCTTGTTACTCAGTTACAGTTGTATCCCAAACAAAACATCACACTTATGCCCAGTGATGGAATAACTGGGTGTGTACACCGGTTCGTGTGACGATAATTTCATAACAACACAAGTCGGGGATTCATGCGGTGCCTATGCTCGTGTTATTTTCAATGGTAGAATTTTTCTTTTGAGTTTTACGCTACACTTGAATGTAATCTGATATCTCACGTAATTAATTATGCATGCTCGAGTTTTTGGATTTACGACTGCATGCAACACTAAGACGAGGTCGTATTCGGGCTTCCCCATCGCGCGAGCAATTTGCCGTCGGTCTTTCTTTAAGGCTTTAGCTAGTCCTACACTTGATGTAGTGGCTTGGGGTTTTTCCCGCCTTTCCGCCGTCCACTTTTATTAATGTTCAGCGTTTAAGAATTCTCTAAACCTTCGTTATCTATGGGACCGGTCTTTGTGCCACAGCATCGCTTTAAAACGTTTTGCATCGTTGCTCCCGCCTCCTACGCTTCCAGGTCTCCTACTTTCCTGTTCTGACCACTGTACTTATATAAACAAACGGAAAAACGCCCACACCAAGAAGACTAAGGCGGGTCGATTAAGCCGGGCCATTTGTTCCTTTGCCAGTGTCTCATGATATGGTTTCCCCCTTCATATTATAATAGCCTTGCCCTCTAAAGTACCTCGAAATGAACTCTAATCGTCCTTTGGGCATTATCCAAATACCCTGTTGGTTATGGCCGGTTTCTGTTGGCGTCCTACGTCATCAGTTACAATTGTGCCCTTGGTCATAAACCGCTTAACGACTCCAAGCGCGTCATGTGGAAAATGTCATCGTGTCGTCTAATGATTTGGCCGCCCATTAAACGCCATCGACGGAAATAATTTTGCGTAGGACAATTGACTAGGTTTTCTCACTGTATCGATTCTTCTGCTGATGAAGTTCGTCGTTGCCGCATTGTATGTGCTTCCACATCCTCCGTATTTCGGCATCTGGTATTTTCAACTCCTGGTACGCATGCTCCACCTTTTTATCGAGATCTATTGGTTTAACTTAATGGCTCCACAGCACGCGATGGAGGTTAGTTGTTGTTTTGCTGATAAATCTCGACGAATGTGGTAAAACGTGCTGCAGCGTATGCGAAGCCACACATAAAGCACGTGTCCGAACGAGTTATTGTCAGTTTCACTTTTTCTCATCGCACTGTTTCAGACCTGCGATAGTATCGCCAATTTTCGGAACTCCCACGAATAATTTGCCCCGCTTTCTCGTGTTATTGTCTCTGTCGTTGGATTCGTGGAGCAAACACACATTGACTTAAACCCTTTGACGACTTGAGTCACTCGGTATACTCATGTGCGCTTTCAGAAACCAATATGGATAGCTTTTGAGATAACAAGAAGTCAATCAAGATTGGGCTCCTGAATTAATTCTTGTTGTCGTGCCTTTGGATGACTTTGATTTAAGATAATATTTACTGCTGGTTGCCGACGCCACATTTGCCATCATCATTGAACACGCGGTTGCCGCAGCTTTCGGGTAATTTAAGTAAACCGTACACACGTGAAGTCATGACATCATTTAACCTCGCAGGTCTATTGCGAGCCGAACTTACTGTAGGTTTTCTGAAGAGCAACCCACTTTCCGTGTCGTCTTTCGTTTCGCTAGCCTACACCTCCTACATCGTGTAGTGTGTTTTCAGCTCTGGTACAGTTAGACTTGACGCTTTTTGCAACTCGCCATCTTTTGAATCTGTGCTCACAAATCAAGACGGAAAGTCTGGTCTTTTGAACTAAAGTTACATGTTACTCAAAGATGGGGAAATTTTCAGCTTTAGTAAACCACGAATCTCACCGGTTGTTTAAGCGAACTTTTGGCTGTAATTTTCTTCCGAAAACTTCCGCGTTCAAAGATATCTTCGGTTTAAGTAGGTAAGGTCTGAACTGAAAATTTGAACCATTCAGGTTGGAGTTCTTTAGTAGAAGGCATTGAGTGAGTATGGGGGATGGATCAGGAAGAACCCCATGGTCCAAGTTGTTGGGCTTTTGCAAGATTATTTACTGCCTTGCGTAGTCATGAGAGGAAACGGAGGCATTCTAAGCAGTCATTCCGCAAGTCCATTTTATCTACCGCAGCATTAGTAAAATTTGCTTATTTTTCAATACAGTTGGTTAACCTTGATAATCTAACGTAGCATCAGTCAATTTCAGGACGTAATCATGGACAATAGGCGACATCCCTTGTAACTAGTTATGCTGTTATTATAATCTGATAGCCATGTTGATTTGACTTCGGTGCGTATTCTGGGTGTCCGTCCCGATTAACCTATCGTTTCGATCACTTTCTGCTGTGCTAGCGACTAATTTTTCCATCATTGCTTGTAAATAAGTGGCTCATGTCCGATTTTTCGTGTTATTTGACTTGACCGTTTACCTTTTCCTATTACCACTGCATGTACAAGAACAGCCAAGGCGGCTGGGGCTACTCTATGCTGTTGACGAAAGAGTGGGCATTTGTTATTCCAGTTTGTTGTTGCACTCATCTTCGCAGCATCTACTCGAGTTAGTCCATTCGGAAAAGTGAACAACCGAAGGTGGCAAACTGCTTGATCAGAAAAGAGTGAGTCGTCGTGACTCCAGGTCCAAGCTACTAGTGCCTAACAGTAGGGTGGTGTAAAGCAACAACATGTCAAATATTACGGTTTCTTTACAGGACATTTAAAGTTCTGTGAAGCGACATTCAAAGGAGTGTTTTGTATGATTTGAGTTCATGAAAATTAATAAGCTTTGGTTTTAGTCGGTTACCGTATACATGGTTTCTGCCGGTAATGCGATTGTCAGAAAAGTGATGCCAATTTACTGAGAACTGCATGAACTTTGAACAAGCTGATTAGTGCCACGTAGTGGTTCATTGCGCTAAGCAGTGAATCGAACGTTGCTTATTTTCGCTCTCCCTTTTCTCTTATCAATATTCCCGCTTTTGATCAGTTGTCTTGTTAAGTGGATGTTGGTAACGACATTTCAACTTCGATATACCCGATCATGGTTCTTTCATGCTGATATTTATCAAATTGAATACAAAGAGATAAATATTAACTCGTGACTTTTCCTCCATTGGCGTACCACAGCTGACTTAGCTACGAATCCCAGGTATGGTTTATGACCTTTGTCGGCCAAGTTTAAAGAACAATGATATTAAACTCACTTGATTAATGTTTTCGATCGTTCGCCAAAGAGAACATTTGCTCTGTGACAAGGTCATTCAAGAATCTTGGAAAAGAGGAGTGTTTTTCTTTAAAGTGGTCTTCTATCCTCTCCCAAGGCTTTGCGTCGGGCCGGTCGTTTCGACATCACCATTCATGTGCCACCCCCTGATCCTGAGGCCCGTACTGCCATCCTTCTTCTGGAGCTTTCCAAGCGGGCTACTTCGTCCCGTGTGCTCAACAAATCCTGGTTGGCGAACTTCGCCCGTCAGGAGTTGGATGGCTATACCGGCGCCGAGGTTGTAGCCATTGTCCAGGCTGCAGCCGAGTTAGCACGTGAATCACATGCAACCGAAATCGCCTGTCAACACCTAATTTCTGCGCGTCACCGCGTGCCTCCTTCGACTCTCGAGGCTTACCTGAAACAGGTGAAGCAGGATCACGCCGATCAGACGACCTTAGAGGGGCTGACTAAAGCTGTCTCGGTTCCAGCATCATCACCGGACGGCGTTTCGGCCGCGGGAGCCACCAACCCCACCTGGAGACAACCTCTGACCTTCCAGCTCTACCTTACCGTCTCAGCAATTCTGATCGCTGTTCTGGCTATTCTTATGACTACTTACATTGCTCTGGAAAAAGAGTAGTATTGTACAAAACTTATGAATCCATTTGTGCATTTACATGTGCTAATAGTATTGTCATGTTTGTCAGTGTTCTCGTCGTCCTCCCCAAGACTAGGCACCTGTCTACTTTTTTTCTCAAATGTATCAGCTAAAGTTTAGTTTTATTGTCACTGTCAAACTGAAGTCGACTTCAATCACGAAATTGCCAACAGCTTGCTATGCACGTGAAATACAACTACTTCGGATGCATTGTTATCTCTAACTTTAAGCATAAATTTTACATCAAACTTTTATACCAAGTCACGGCTTGATTCAAGTCTGGCAGATGGTGGGCAAACAGGGTGACGCTAGTTGGCCTTCTTCGCGGAGGAAATGTTTTTGATGTGATAGAATTCTGCCTCTGTCACTGTCATTGAAAATCACCACTGCGCCATTCGTCAATCAAGTAGCACAGGTAGGTCCCATGGATTCTCCGAATCACCCTTCCCGCTCTCTTATACACACCTGCGTTAACCTATTGTCCGTTGTTTCTGCTTTTAATGAGGATTGAACAAATCCTGTGAGTAATTTAAATGTTGATTATTCATATGTTGCAGTCATTTTGTATCCTGCGTCACGTGGGGTGAGGAATGCCGCTGACTTTTCAATGTGTTAAATTCAGTCTGCGGCCAATCGGCTGTCATTTGACCATAGAGAGATTAACGCGCACTCGTGGTGCTCCATTGAGGCTCCCCTATATACCACAGGCATATGGACTAGTTACCTTTTCTGAATCAGACCACCGTGATCTCGTCTTGGGGGCTGCAGAAGTGAGTTTATCAGCACATTTAACAACGAGTGCGGAAAATGACTTTCGGTGGGGTCGTCAAGGGTGTGATGGACGTTTAGCTATAAGCTAATGTCATTATCTGATGAACAGGTGTGGCTGTTTTACCAACTGAACCCAGATTCCTCCCAAAAAAACTTGTAGTCACTCTATCGATCCAAATGGGTGAGTCAAGCTCCCAAATGAACTTCTGATCAGGGTGTCACACAGTAAAAGTACACAGTATGAGGTAGGGGATATGACAATAGAGTCGAAAAGAGCATTAATGTCGAAAACGTCAAGACGTGTACTCAGCCGTATTTTCGAGTGACAAAATTTTAAACCTAATCTTCATTGCCTGCTCACACCAATTCTAAACGGAGTACTAGATCATTTGAAGCTAGGGGTTTTCTTCAATTTTGCGTAACTTCGGTTCGTGCATTAACATGTCAATCCAGCAGAATGCAAACGACCTGGATAGATTTGACATTATGAGATAGGATACGGCAGTATTATTTTCTGTGAAATCAAAGAGTTGATTTCTTCCACTGATAGCGCAAAAGTATTAATGCAAATGATGCATTTAACGAAGTCCTTTTAGCTTCACAACTTAATAATCTAGTTACTATTTTATGCGAATTCATGGGAGACCTATTATCCGCATAATTTCATTTTAGAGCTTCAAAATAAAGTTCATTTATCAGGCATTATGGATACTAGAATCTTTTCGAACCACAACATTTCAGACGTAATTGTCAAGAAAATTACTAAAGTCAATGACAATAAATTACCGATGACATATCAGCAAGTAAGTTATCAAGTTGTTCCTGCAATTTATTTTCCATGGTTATTTAGTCAATCAGATATGGTCCCATTAAGAGAATGAATCCAAATCAAATTGTACAAAAGCTGAAGCCCTGACAAGAGGTCCTGGCGCGTCTGACAAAACCCCACCACCCAGACTTCGAATAAATTGTGGGCGAAATAAATTTGGCACAGGGACATTGCGGTAGTCTTGCTACTAAACGCATTAAAAGACCGCAAACAATTGAATGGATTTACAGGACTATTTAATTACTAGTTTTAGGGTACCTAACCTGACTGCTATAAGAGTATCTACCAATTAGTGATTAATGTAATCAAAGTTCCCCACATAAGTCCATCGCCTCAGTAAATGGCATAGTTACCAGTCTACTTCGAGGGCTGAATGGAGTTCACTTTAACTCAGTCGAAGGGAGATTTTCAAATAAAGTGTCAGAAATTGTCAAACAAATCAATTGCAGATGCCAATGAAGAAGGACTCATCATTATTTTAAAGCAAAATGCCAAAACGGTTTAGTGATCACGAATTCAATAGTGCATTGGTAAATTCCATCTTGGTAACAAAGTCAAATCAAGGATTTTTAATTTTGCACATGACATTAGTACCAGGACTGTTGTGTGTCGGTGGTTTTGGATGCAGGTAAGGGTTGGTGTTTTGCCCATCAATTTTCACAAGCCCAGATGTTGGACTTGAACTTACGTCTAGACTAATAATAAGCATGGACACGATATGCCTGAGAAACTCCAGACAAAAATGGGAAGACGAAACGGGATACTGACTCGACTGTTTATTTTGCTGCAAGACGAATGCCGTACGTGCTTAATTGGCTTGTGGATGTATTGGAGATGCAGAGGTGAGAAGAGGTGAACAGCGGAAAATAGGCAAATTAATGTTGGTATGATAATCTAACAATGGTCTCGCAATAATCGCGATCCAAAGTTGCAATTTCATCTCATCTGCACAATTTTAAATGAAAATTGTTTGGAGCAGCTGGTCGAAATCACAAATAAAGCCACACAAGTTTGCTCAATTAGGAAGGGGGATGCTATTTCAGCTAAGACGAAGCAGACTGGATTGCCCATCAATCTTGGATGTAGCTTTAAAGCAATTTCTATTTCAGCAAATTTGGGCTAAAAATAGTGAATTGTTTTAAATAATTACGAAAACAAATACCTTGAGAGAAACGACTGACTGAAGGTATGTAGAAAGGGCATGTCAAAGAAGTTAGCGCACATTTGAAGAAAAGAGGTTTAATGATATCATTAAGAGAAGTTGCTGTAAAGTACTAGTCATTGATACAGTTCGAATTAAAACTAATTAGAAGGGTTTTCATTAAAGGAAAAATAATTACCCAACGTAAGCGAAAATTGAGCTTCATAGCAAATTGCATGGAAAAGGATTTTTTGCTTCTCTATGAAAAACAAGGTTTTTTTACGGGTTGAAATTTATTGCCAAGCAGCAGTACTATTTTCACCTAGTTTACAGATTAACAAACATACGCTATTCTGAAGTGAGTAAGGAAACTCCCAATCGAGAGAACAATTTTATATTGCCACATGGCTTTCGTCTCACTTGTTTGGGTAAGCCATCAGCAGGGCGTTCGTTTATTGTGGCAAATTTAACTCACAAAGACACTCAAGGACGGTACACAAGTGTCAAATATGTAATTAATTAGCCAAACGTATTTTACGCAATAGAAAACGTACCTATTTTCGGATGCCCGAGCAAGTTGGCAAATGAAGTAGATGTCCTGAAAATAGGTTTAAAATGCCAACATGTAATAAAACCAAACATAGATTACCTTCAGCCAAAACTGTCTCTTTCAATTTTCAGGTGATTATAAAGTTCTTGGTTTTTTGTGACTTTATGACAATGTATAGTGCATAATATTGAAAGTAATAAACGGTGACAACTTTTATTAGTCATTCAAAATTGGTGAGCCATGGTAGTTCACAGCAAATTGACGCTTTCATAAGGGTCCTACATGGTATTATATCTGCGAAGTTTATTCCAGCGATGACAGGATTCATGATTAAATACCTTAAGTTTACCTACTGCTCATCACTCTTTGTATGACTTCCAGCAAAATTAAGCAAAATTTGGTGGCTGGACCAGTCCCCCGAATACAGCGGCATAAATCCATTCATTATTAATGGTTACTGGTGGAAGAAAGGCAGTGGATTTTAGTATAAACGCTATGTTTACGGATCGAAAGCCTACTCTGTCTCGTGTTAGGAGTGATTAGCGAGGATTAAAAACGCAACTTGTGAGTCCAACCGTGTTTACGCCACGGGAGTCGAAATCAATCAAGAACGCCCGTTGGACAATGAGTCACGAATATTTGCATTCTATGGCTCATCTTGCTTATGTTTAGGTGTTTATGGGATTTTTACTGTCATCACTAAGCTCGATAAAGAACACATTAACGCGACTAGGTCCCCTAAAAATCGGATTCATATAGACAAAATTAGACAAACAAGTGACACATTTAGACGGCAAACCTATCTAGCTAGTTTTAAGGGTAAGGTAGCAATAACGTCATTTGCTAGATTTCCTTCTTTAGAATTATACGTCCTGTTTTATAAGTTTTTTAGAGAAAGTTAGCCCTTGCCAATGCATTTGAATCTAGAGCAAATAACGATTTTTTAATGATGCTATTATCATTTAGATCTTGCATGTTTTCGGAGAGCTTCTTTAGTCTTAACCTGAACGATAGGAAGTAATTCACACATAGTAATAACGCATTTGAAATATAGATTGATAGTTTAAGAGGCAAGTGGTAGATTTGCACTATCTTGAGTGTTCTTTATAATACCATACTTATTTTGAGAATTATGTGGGGTCAACGTGAAACTCAATCACGCATTGGTTCCTGGACCGTATTCCTGAAAAAACCTGCTCGGATAATGATTAGGGAGTATCGAGGTCTATTGCTTCACAACTATTTATCTAGCGATTTTTTCAGATGGAAAATGCAAGTTAAAAAGAAAACCAACCAGTGGAAGTAGATGGTGCTCCAAGCGCTTTAACTAATATGAAGAAGCATGTAATTTGACACGAGGCTTCAGAGCTCTTTCAAATGTTGACCAAGTCAAAATCCAAAATTCGTCTTTAAACAGCACTGAAGTTTCAGCACCGCAAATAGTGGACTAATCTAACAACGTAGGTTTTCAGAATGCAGGGATGCGTACACACCCACCTAATGAAACTTGATGCAGGTTATTTTATTCTCTTTATGACTGAACAATTTTGCCCTGCTGTATAAATCGCACAGCCGCATTTTTGCTATTTCAAAGTAAAACAGCAACGCGGAAAGTCAACAGGGCGTGATGAATTACAATATTTTATGTATGGACGGTCATTATTTTCCCACAGTCTACTTTTTGGGACAAA